GTCCAACGCTTAACTGACAGCCACCCAGGCGCCCCTCAAAAAATTTTTCTTAAGTTTTTTTTAAATTTATTTAAGTAATCTCTATACCCAGCGTGGGGCTCTATCTCATGACCCCGAGATCAAGGGTTGCAAGCTCTTCTGACTGAGCCAGCCAGGTGCTGCCCCCCCAAATCTTTAAAGTCCTTCCTAAATTGGGATCTGCTCCCGAGAAGCCTTCCAGCAGCCCAGCTCTGCTCTGGGGGGTTGCCCAGGGCCCATGGCCACAGGATGACTCTCCCCCACCCCCGCCTGCCTCTTACAATCCAGAGAAGCTGATGGAATCCCCAGTCACCCCTGCAGCGGGGCTTGGTAGCCTGAGAGATTGCACATGTGGTACAAGGCTGGGCCCACAGGAGTGGGGGCAGCAGACCTGGTCCCACCACGGCCAGCTGTGTTCTCCTGGAGCTTCAGTTCTGTGAACTTCCTCCTTCCTAGAGCTGCTGTGAGGAGCCCACAAGATACTGGAGGGTGGTTCACATGAAGGAGGCTACTGTGTGACACTGCAGGGCTCAGGGGTACACATTCATACAGCCTAGAGGGTAGGTCCTTCCAGGGAGAGGAAAGGTGACATCCCAACCCAAGGCTTCTGCTGGCACCCACTATTGGCCCCATTTTATGGATGAAGAAACAGAGGCACAGATCGAGTTCCCTGCCTGAGACTGCGCATGAGATTAGGGCCAGATCCAAGATGGGACCCAGCTCTATTTCCTGAGCTCTTTCCAGTAAGCCAGGATGCCTTGGAGAAGTGTGGGCTTCCCACAAGGTTCCGAGGCTCCCAGTGTCCCAGAACCCAACCCCCAGAGGCTGAGGTCGCCGTATGCCAGGGCCTCATGCTCCCGATCTGTCTCCCTTGCTGAGAACACTGGGTCAGCTCTCATTGCTGGCACCTTAGGCTCTCCCCAAGACTGAGGATTGCCTCTTTGTTTCCATAGTAACAGTGAACAGAGGGGTCTCCTGAATCAGTGCAAGGATTCTGCACCGGCACCTGCAAGTAAGCATGTGCCCTGGGAATCCCCGGGATGGACAGCCTTAGGTACAAGCACACATACACATGCATACTCACGCACATGCTTGCACATGCATACATACCCAATGCACATGTGTGCACACCCATCCCCCCTTGTGAACACACAAGTGCGCCCTTGCACACGCAGGCACACGCACAAGGTGCCCGCTAACCGAGAAATGGATCAGGATATGATCGTGCCTGGCATAACCCACTCCCAGAGCCACCTTGGCCCACTCAGGCACAAGGAGGGTCTTGGAGACATGAGGCACTTCTGTACCCCCTGCTACATTAGTGGATACTTACTATGTGCCCGGTACTGCATTTTCCTTTTCACATAGAACATACTCCCCACAACGCCATGCTGAGACGGGTGCCCAGTGAGGGAACAGGCTCAGAGAGGCGGGGGATTTGCCAGAGAAGGCATGGGCCGAGCCAAGATTTGAGTCCAGCATTGACTCCTGCCCTCCCCACCACACCTGTTGGTGCCAGACCCATGAGCACTTCCCTGGGACCCACAAATACAGATGAGGAGGCCTGGCAGGAGGTGGGGCAGGAGCTGAGGCCTCCCAACTAGAATGCCAGGGTTCCTGGACTTGTGGCTCTGGGTCATCGGATGCCCTCTCCGGCATCCAGCCATTCTTGAGACTGGGGACTGAAGGAAGGTCCAAGGGACAGCAGGGGCTTTCTTTCCACTTCTCCCAGTCAGCAGAAAAGGAACTCTGAACAGCAACAAGAACCACCAGGAATCTCTTGCTGGTGAAGCTACCTGGGTTCACTTGTGAGCTCCCTACCTTTCCAGCAAAGGCAGGAATCCAGCTGCTGAGGTCCTGGCTCCTCGACCTCATGGGCCTCTCAGGCAGACCCTTCAGAGATGACGGGGCCTGAATTCAGAGGCCAGGCCAGCCAGGTCACCCTGAGTAATGAGTTGGGCGGGGGCATCATCCAGGAGGGACCTTTCAGCAGGAGGAGCTCTAACAGTGAAAATGGGCTGCTGAGGAGATAGTGAGCTCCCTGTCACTGGAGGCATCCCAGATGGGTAGGTGCTGGTGCTCCCTGCTTAGGAAATTGAAAATAAAGTGACTGAGTCCTCCATCATTATCCTCATCATTGTCATTGTCATAGTTACCACTGATTGGATACCCTTTGAGTCAGGAACTTAAAGATACAACTACCACTACTGCTAATAAAAATAGCAGCCCCTATAGATCAGACCTTATGGGGTTGATCTTCACTGACTCCTCACAGAAACCTGGGAGGCAGGCATGATTGTTAGGCCCATTTACAGATGAAGAAACCAAGGCTCAGAAAGGTCAGTGACTTGTGCACGGTGCAGGGACAGCAAGACCTACGTTCTGCCTGGCTGCTGAGTCTGTGGTCTGTGCACCTGGGAGCTGGCCTCGGGGGTAAAGCAGGACAGCCTCCCCCCAGTTAGGGCTCTTGGTTCCTAGAGCCTTTTCTGTTCTGGGCAACGTTGGCTTCACTATGGCCAATGAGGCGCCCTCTGCTGGCCATTTCCTGGCTCTGCGGAACCACCTGAAGGCGGAGGCATACCCTCCAGTACCTGGGATGTGAAAGGTGGGTAGGCCCTTGAACCTTGGACTGTCACTTCAGATGGTGGTACCTGAGGTCACCCAGACGGTCAAGGTTGAGCAGAGGTTGGAGTCTAAGGGCTATCTGATTCCCAGGCTCTCGTCCTTCCACCCCTCCCTAGTGGGGAAGAAGTTTTACTCCAGCGGCCTTCACTTCCTACTGCAGCCTCCTCTACATCCGGGCTCCTACAACAGGGCCTCTGGCCCCACGGCTCTTGAGGGATCTTGGGGACTGTAGTTTGTAGCTGAGAACCTGTCTCCAAAGGCAAAGCGGACCCTAGGGTTTGTGGCAGTTTGAGGCATGGGGCTGTCATTGACTGGCTGTGTGAGGCTAGGCAAGATTCTCAACCTCTCTGGGTGTGGTGAGATGGGAGTCAGTTCCTTCGTAGACTCCGAAAAAGAGATTTGAGGACGTCTCTTTTACCCAACCAGGACACCTCGGCCAGCCCATTGCCGCACACTACCTAACATTACCCCACCCAGCCATTCCCTACCACATCACTGCATCGTTTTCATAGCCCAGGGGAGTCTCTGAAGGTATTTTATTTAGTCATTAGCTCACTGTTTATTGCCTGTCTCTCCCACTGGAATGTGAGATCCGCAAGGGCAGGAATCTTGTCATCCTGGTCACAGCTGTGTCCCCAGGACCTATAGGTGTTCATACATATTTGTTGGATGAATAACACCCTCCCCGGGCGCCTGCGCGTCTCAGTCGGTTGAGCAGTGGACTCTTGATTTCAGCTCGGGTCAATGGGCTCATGGTTCGTGGGTTCGAGCCCCACTTCGGGCTCTGAGCTGACAGGGTGGAGCCTACTTGGGATTCTCTCTCTTCCCCTCTCTCTGCCCTTCCCCCATTCATGTTCTCTCTATCTCTCAAAAATAAATAAATAAGCATTTTTTTTTTAAAAATCTTAAAGCCCTCCCTAGCCCAACCTCTGTTGCAGCTTGAAACAGTCTTCCAGATCCAG